CAATTCTCTTAAATTTATGATTTTTTTTAAATTTGTAAATTGAATTACGAGCTCAGGTCTTTAAATTTATGATTTAATTATTTAGTTTTATGAATCTATTAATCATAATGCATGTGAAATCATAAACAAGCTACCAAAAGAAACATGGAAGGAAGTCTAAACTCTAAACCGAAGGATTTAGAGCGAAAGCGAAGGAGAATTAGCGGGAGATATGTCTTTCTATTGTTTGGATTACTTTATTAATGAATGGGAAAGAAGATGGAGGGTAATAGAACCTCTCCACTTTGTTTTACATCATTCTAATTTGGAGGATTTGGATGGATTTTGTCCATCTAATTATTTTTTAAATTTTCTAAAAAGGTATATAAATATTCTATTTTAATTATTTATTTAATTAATAAAATTTAAAAACTTTATTATATTATATAATATTTTTAAAATTATTTAATTAAATAAAAATATTTTCCTTCTCCCATGCTACTTTTGTTTATTTATACTAAGGATGAGTTACTCGTTAAGAGTTTAAAATGCTAAGTTGTAGATTTTAAGTTTGAATATTAAGTTAAATAATGAGAGATTTAAGAAAAAAGGATGATTATTTCTTTTTATATAACCCCTTATAATTAGATGTACAACAAAACTTTTGTTTATTTAAATTAACATTAATTCATTTTTTTTAATTAATTTTTATCCAAATATACGCTAAATAACGGTAAGAACTTAAGGATTCTTAAATTAAAGTTCTCCAAAACCTTAAGACCGATGAGAACGGTTTGGAAAAGTGGAGAGCTATACCCATTTATAGTGCATCATGCCCGAGAAAACCAAATTGCAATGTTTTCCATTATCAAATTTGGAAAAAGAAAATGTTGGACCCTGTCTCTGAACAAATAACATGCATACTTTAGAGTGTGTTCACGTGTTATTAAGCACCAAACCTTTGCTAGATGGAAATCCTTTTATATATTTTATTTTAAACGTGCTTATTATTCTTCATGGCTCTCAACTTGATTTGATTGCATGATAACATCAGGCATGGTGGCTTGGCCTTTCTATAGTTATGCAGAAGAATTCACTGATGGATTTTGCGAAGAAAATTACCTTGTGAAATTCCAATTTGGCCAAGTATACTATGGTACAGCTTGGGAGGATGAGGATGAGGATGAAAGAGTTGAGGTGGTAGTGAAGATTTGAGAAGATAATTCAATTTATGAAGTCCGTCCTGGGGATAACAGAAGCAGATTAAGTGTAAGCTTCCTAAACTTGTTAATTATGCATATCTCTACACTGTTAGCAACCATCTTATTTTAACTTTTATATTTCATTTATAGGATGAAATTCAATTACTTGAACATTTTGGTGAAAATTCTCATCCGAACCTCGCCAAGTTGTCCGGGTATTTCCAGGAAGGTGGACAACTTGGCTAGTATATATAAAATCAAGCCCCTGGATGCTCTAAACAACCTCATTCCAAAAGGTATATTTGCTTTAAGTAAATAATAGCTAACATAATTCTGCATCTTATTTTTTAGTGCACGGTTTGAAATGTTAGATTCAGCTTCTTTTGGCTTTGATGTATGAGTTTATGGTAATTGCTATTTTCATTATTTATTTTTTCTCAGATAGTTTCAGTTGGCTGGAGAGAATCAAGGCTGCTCTTGGATTTGCTTCCGTCCTTGATTTTATGCATTCCCACAATCCGCCACATTTTATTCGCAATATAGATGCAGCTCATATTATGATTGATGTGGTTTGTCTCCCTCCATCTCTGGTTGTTGATTTGTCAGCATACTTCTCTTTCTGTTCGGAATTTGACTGAGTATAGCTTTCTTTCTATTTATTGTAGGATCACAATCCAGTAATATTTGACCTTAGTATGATATCTGGCGGGGTTGTTACTGATAAAAAGGACATTTTAAATCAGTATGTACTTGGCTGCTATGGTTATTCTGATCCAAGTTACATAAAAGGTATGCCTGATCCACATCTCATGTGTGCATTCTTTTTAGTCTTTAATTAAACGTATTTTTATTACATGTCATAGCTATAACTCTATTTAAACCATTGAACAGTACTTTTATTTACTTATTGCTCTAAAAATTCATTGACAATCATAAAGAATGCCAGAAAAACTCAGAAAATATAAATGCAGGGAATTAAAAAAATGAAAGGAGTATGCTAGTTTTTGCTCAGTCATGTATTTTTCCGGTATTAGATTTTGTTAGGCAACCTTCTAGTCAGTGGCAATATGAAGTTGATCATATATAATTGCCAGAAAGTGAATCGTTTATGAAAAGAATGACATATGACTAAGCTAAGTTGGATGGAGATGCCATTTTCTTCTTGTTCATATTCTTGCGTGGTAAGGATAACCGAAATATGTTAGTTCGGGACTGGGATGTAGAAGATTCAGTTTTGATGATTATTAAGTGGTCTGTCATCAAAGAACATTATTCTGAAATTAAGGTGGAAAAGAACAGAAGGGTCTAGAAATCACAATTAGGATCATGTGGGCATCATTAGAGCGCAATTGCTTCAACATAATGGGAAGTTTAAGAGATGTAGGAAACTTTTTGAGATCTTCTTTTGTAATTTAATAACTATATGCATTTACACACACTGCTAGTAATTTTGTTCTAGTTTAGACCACCAAAAGAAGAACCTAAAACTCTACAATCAGAGACTGAGCTTCTATTTGACCGCACAATATGGCCCTAAAGAAATTTACATTTGAGGTAGTCAGCCAGGATCTATGCTTCTAGGTTCTAGCCCACTTGACTGAGACATATCCAGCAAGAATGAAAGTTCATAAAATACTTTTGTGTTTGTTTCGAGGGATGGACAGATAACCAGGACATAGAAATTGATTTTCTGCTGGTGTTCTTTTTCATATGATTGGTAACAGCATTAATTTACTTCTTTCTTGAGAGTTGCTACATGCCTTTATGCCATATCCTAAATTTAGTTAGTTGAAGCTTTCTCCAGTCTCAACTGCTGTTAGTCTGAAGTTCATGATCTAAAGAAAATTGGTAGTCTCAATGCAAAATTAAGAGAAATATTGCAATATATTATTAGCGAGATTAGAGGATCTTGAATTCATGATAGTGGTTCTGCAATTAGTCTTTGATTCCATAACAGGTTCATCATAATTTATGGATTAATAGATCATTCTACTCTTGTTAATTTCCTGGTTTTCTTACTGTGTCTCATAATATTAATGACTTTAACAATCCTTTGACAGGTTGATGGTCTGAGAAGTGCGATGTTTTTGGATATGGTGTTGTGCTTTTGGGGTTAATAACCAAAAGAGTGTATACAGATGAAGACAGAACAAACCTTGCACCTTTTGTTTATGAATGGGCATTTTCTGAATATAACTCAGGGAAAAAGTCTTCACTTGTGCACAAAAGTCTGGAATCTGGACCATTTTTTCATCC